CTTCAAGCGTAAGGTCGCTGGACAAGAGAAAATGAGTCGATCACCTCATCAATGCCAACAGCATGGATGGAGGAATCCCTACTTGTGGCTGTTTTATCCAGGCAGCCGCAGCACCCAGCACTGGTATCTGAGAGGATGCAGTCACTGTTTTGGGTGATGATCTTCCAGGGCCACCCACGGCTCCAATTTCAGCCAATTTGGCAGGAATTGGCCAGAATTCTATCCAACAATGGGAGACTTAACTTGGCCACACCTGTCCATCCTATTTAATGTAATTGGGGGATTCTTCCTCCAGTAGACAGACTCGGCTGGGGAAAAGTTAGAAGTTGCTGAAGGTAACCTTCTTATGTCTGTGAAGGTTCTCATTCATCCAGGTCATGGTATATCTGTAAAAAATGAGTCAAGACAACTAGACTCACTGTATTTTTCTTGAAAACGTTTCACTGGTCATCCAACCAGCTTTCTCAATTCTGAATTGAGAAAGCTGGTTGGATGACCAGTGAAACGTCTTCAAGAAAAATACAGCAAGTCCAGTTGCCTTGACTTATTTTTTTTACAGGTAACCTTCTTATGTGTTTTGTACATCAGTCCTTTGATGCATTGTCCCGAAACAAGCCTTCTGATCAGGAAAGTCAATGGCAAGTCTTTATCTGCATACCTTTTCTAGATCAGTGACTCAGAGTATAAACAAGAGAGTTGACATGAAAGCCAGGCAATTGGTATTTGCAGAATAGGAATTTGGCTGTGGCAACCATACATATTTCTCTGTCAATGGTTTCCTTAACCGTCAGAAGTGCATTGACATATTGAGGTTTCTGCTAATCTGTGTTCTTGATGCTTTATAGAAGAGGACAGCATCAAACTCCTGACCCTTAGAAGTAGAACATCCCCCGTACACCTTTTTAGATCTGTGTCTTGTCTTGCTTGTAGCTGACGTATGTTTATCACCATTTGGGACTGCAGGGAGGAACGGCATGGAGCAGTACTTGTAAGTGATGAGCAATTAAAATAATTTAAGCTGGTCATGTTGACATCTACTAGTGCTCCTTTTTACTCGGTATGAATTATAATTTAGAGCAGAGCAGTTTTCTGCGGCTAAGCATGGATGAGCGCCTGTCGTCAGTCTGGATGCTGGTAGTTTGTGCAGTTATTTGCCAGGGCTGAGGGGGCGAGCTGTACTGAACTTGTAGTGTCTGCTCCCAGGCTGTCTCGGCTATAGGGGAGGAGGGGAGCGCACTCCCAAGGGCTGGATCCGACATTAAAGGACTCTTTATATCGCTGCCAGCTCAGAGTCTGTGAATCACTGGTCGGCCTGACAAGGGCAGGGCAATTACATGTGAAATGTACTCTGAGAGAGTAGCAAACCACAGCCACTGCCAACATATAAGAGGCCTTAATCACTGCCGCACTGTGCAACTGCAGCGCCAGCCAGGCCAGATAAAGGTCCCTGGTTTTTATGGAAATGGAAGGGTTTTGTTTTAAAAGCTTGAGCTGCTGAAATCGCTCAATACAACCTGTTTTCACATAGCTTGGGTGATGGCCATATCGTATCCATGGGCAGGCCTCAGCTTTACATGCACATTAGTGGTAGTCTAAGTTTAGGCCAAGTGGCACAAAATTTGACGAGATCTTGTAGCGCGTGGTCTGTCTTACTACTTAGATGTAATGGAAAAGAAATCAAAGCCAAGCCAGGCCTGGAAAAGATCTTACCATTTAACAATGTCAACCTTCCCGACAAAAGATTGTTGCTTTGCCAAACATGCGACTCTACTAGATGATGAAGGGCATGGTCTGCAACTGTTCAATTATCTTCAGACGAGAGATAAAGGGACTTAATCCCATGTGTGTGTTCAGATCTTTCATGCAAATGATCTTCCTGTGACTTATTTGAAGAGCAAGCAATTCTACACAAAATGTCCCATTTTGCCTTGCGTCAGTTGTTTTCATACAACCTTTAGTTTTTATGTATTGGGTCTATCTTTAACATTTCTGCAGAATTTTAGAGTGTAATTTGTATGTGGGCTGAACACTTTTCTTCCGGGAAACAGTTGTTTTTATGGCTTGTCCCCCATTGGGGTTTCAGTTCCCGTAATTGCAGTGTAGAGGGTGCCAGTAAGATCTTGCTGGGCTTGCTTCTTAGAAGCCCAGCAAACTGAGCGCCATGGGTACATTTGTAGAATAGTGCGTTTATACGTATGAAAGGCAGCTGTAACACTTGATGGACTTGCAGGGTATCAAATAAAGACGATTACGAGCCCCATTGCTTTTTCTTTTAAACGTGTAATCTTTGACTGGAGCATCTTTAAAGAAATGGATTAAAATTGAGCTGCTGTTATAGCCAGAGTTACAACTTCAAGAGCCTTTAAATGTCCCGTCTTTACGGTTTGGCAACAAACACTGTTTTTCTTTATTGGTTAATGATTAGACGGGTTATCACCATCTCTCCTAGACGCCTGTGTTTATAGTGTTGGAGTTGGCAGGCTTTCAGTGTCTGGATATTGTAACAATGCACCTTTTTAAAGGTCAGCGTAGCCCACTGGCTTCAGGCAGGCAATCTAGTTGGCCATTGACTTGGGATGGTGGTTGGACGTGAACATTATCTGTTTGAACTGATGTGTGCAATTTTACCAATACACAATCCTTTATCTGTGGAAGGTTAAAGGGCTGTCGGACCCCTCAACATCCGCCTAATGTGTAGTCCAACCCCGCCATGGTTCCCCCATGTCAGTCTGCGCCAACTGTACAACTGTACAACTGTCTACTTGTGTTGCCAAGTACCTTAGCTAGAGGAAGGAGCAGAGAACTCCAGCAGAGCAGAATATTTCAGGAGAGGAGAGTTATAGAGGAAGGAGCAGAGTATTTCAGGAGAGGAGAGTTATAGAGGAAGGAGCAGAGTCCTCCAGCAGAGCAGAGTATTTCAGGAGAGGAGAGTTATATAGGAGGGAGCAGAGTCCTCCAGCAGAGCAGAGTATTTCAGGAGGGGAGAGTTATAGAGGAAGGAGTAGAGTCCTTCAGCAGAGCAGAGTATTTCAGGAGGGGAGAGTTATAGAGGAAGGAGCAGAGTCCTCCAGCAGTGCAGAGTATATCAGGAGACGAGAGTTATAGAGGAAGGAGCAGAGTCCTCCAGCAGAGCAGAGTATTTCAGGAGAGGAGAGTTATAGAGGAAGGAGCAGAGTCCTCTAGCAGAGCAGAGTATTTCAGGAGAGGAGAGTTATAGAGGAAGGAGCAGAGTCCTCTAGCAGAGCAGAGTATTTCAGGAGAGGAGAGTTATAGAGGAAGGAGCAGAGTCCTCTAGCAGAGCAGAGTATTTCAGGAGAGGAGAGTTATAGAGGAAGGAGCAGAGTCCTCTAGCAGAGCAGAGTATTTCAGGAGAGGAGAGTTATAGAGGAAGGAGCAGAGTCCTCTAGCAGAGCAGAGTATTTCAGGAGAGGAGAGTTATAGAGGAAGGAGCAGAGTCCTCTAGCAGAGCAGAGTATTTCAGGAGAGGAGAGTTATAGAGGAAGGAGCAGAGTCCTCTAGCAGAGCAGAGTATTTCAGGAGAGGAGAGTTATAGAGGAAGGAGCAGAGTCCTCTAGCAGAGCAGAGTATTTCAGGAGAGGAGAGTTATAGAGGAAGGAGCAGAGTCCTCTAGCAGAGCAGAGTATTTCAGGAGAGGAGAGTTATAGAGGAAGGAGCAGAGTCCTCTAGCAGAGCAGAGTATTTCAGGAGAGGAGAGTTATAGAGGAAGGAGCAGAGTCCTCTAGCAGAGCAGAGTATTTCAGGAGAGGAGAGTTATAGAGGAAGGAGCAGAGTCCTCTAGCAGAGCAGAGTATTTCAGGAGAGGAGAGTTATAGAGGAAGGAGCAGAGTCCTCTAGCAGAGCAGAGTATTTCAGGAGAGGAGAGTTATAGAGGAAGGAGCAGAGTCCTCTAGCAGAGCAGAGTATTTCAGGAGAGGAGAGTTATAGAGGAAGGAGCAGAGTCCTCTAGCAGAGCAGAGTATTTCAGGAGAGGAGAGTTATAGAGGAAGGAGCAGAGTCCTCTAGCAGAGCAGAGTATTTCAGGAGAGGAGAGTTATAGAGGAAGGAGCAGAGTCCTCTAGCAGAGCAGAGTATTTCAGGAGAGGAGAGTTATAGAGGAAGGAGCAGAGTCCTCTAGCAGAGCAGAGTATTTCAGGAGAGGAGAGTTATAGAGGAAGGAGCAGAGTCCTCTAGCAGAGCAGAGTATTTCAGGAGAGGAGAGTTATAGAGGAAGGAGCAGAGTCCTCTAGCAGAGCAGAGTATTTCAGGAGAGGAGAGTTATAGAGGAAGGAGCAGAGTCCTCTAGCAGAGCAGAGTATTTCAGGAGAGGAGAGTTATAGAGGAAGGAGCAGAGTCCTCTAGCAGAGCAGAGTATTTCAGGAGAGGAGAGTTATAGAGGAAGGAGCAGAGTCCTCTAGCAGAGCAGAGTATTTCAGGAGAGGAGAGTTATAGAGGAAGGAGCAGAGTCCTCTAGCAGAGCAGAGTATTTCAGGAGAGGAGAGTTATAGAGGAAGGAGCAGAGTCCTCTAGCAGAGCAGAGTATTTCAGGAGAGGAGAGTTATAGAGGAAGGAGCAGAGTCCTCTAGCAGAGCAGAGTATTTCAGGAGAGGAGAGTTATAGAGGAAGGAGCAGAGTCCTCTAGCAGAGCAGAGTATTTCAGGAGAGGAGAGTTATAGAGGAAGGAGCAGAGTCCTCTAGCAGAGCAGAGTATTTCAGGAGAGGAGAGTTATAGAGGAAGGAGCAGAGTCCTCTAGCAGAGCAGAGTATTTCAGGAGAGGAGAGTTATAGAGGAAGGAGCAGTCATCCAGCAGAGCAGAGTATTCCAGTAGATGGCGAGTTGATGGGTAAGAACAACATAAAGAGATGTCTTGCTACAAGTAAAATATAACGAATTGGTGAACTTGCCCTTTACAATAGGCCTCTGTATTGAATCCTATATTAATCCATGATGCTTGATGTCTGTAAATGAAACAGTTGAGTAATTTCCTATTTTCTTTTTGCAGCGGAGCTGGAGTTCGTTCAGATAATCATCATTGTGGTGGTCATGATGGTTATGGTCGTGGTAATAACATGTCTCCTAAACCACTACAAGCTTTCAGCACGATCGTTCATTCACCGACACAGCCAAGGGAGGAGGCGAGAAGAGAACCTGTCTTCGGTAAGGAAGCTGTTTGCATCCCGTTGGCTTCAGCCAATCAATTCATCATGGCCCAATTACGTAGATTTTTTTTGTATGGTAAATTAATTATTGAATTACAGTTCTAGAACATCAGATTTACATTTGGGTTAGTCCAAAAATATTATAAAAAAACCTACGTATAAAATGACGCATCTAGCGTGGTTTTAAGAGGAGGAAAGTGATTCCCTACATTTTGTGTACAGATGTCCATTATAGTTTTCTCCTTGTGTAATGGGTGTGTAACTGGTCATTCTGTTTCCTGAGTAGGGAAGAATCAGAGATTCACAAAATGCTCATGGATTGTTTTTTTTTTTCTGTCGCAGGAAGGAAGCCTGTGGCCTTCGGACAGCACAGTTTCGGGAAACGGTGTAGCAGAGGTAAGATGGCTAACTGAATGCTTTGCTCTTTAAATGACCATAAAATGTTATTGACATGAATCCAATTTAAAGTGACCCTAAACTCAGGAACGTAATCATAAAAATCCATTCAAGTACCTGTACTATGAACAACAATGTATCTTCTGATCCTCCAATCATCTCTGAATTGGTGCTGACACTGTCCTTCCTTCTGGAGGGGGCTACTTTTATTCCCCATGGTCCCTGTGTGTGTTGTAAAGTAGTCACCGCTCCAAGCTCACTCCCGGGATGGACTACAATCTCAGTACAAATGAGTAAACTAAACGTGAGATTGTAGTCCATCACGGATGTGAGCTTGGAGCGGTGACTACATTACAACACACACAGGGATCATGGGGAACAAAAGTAGCCCCCCTCCAGAAGGAAGGACAGTGTCGGCACCAATTCAGAGATGATTGGAGGATCTACAGCCGAGTGAGACAAACATTGTTGTTCATAGTTAAGGTTCTTTAATGTATTTTTTAGAGATTCAACGCCTGAGTTTAGTGTCACTTTAATTTGTTCATTTGATTTTTTTAAAGCCTGTCATAAATTAAGGAATTGAGTTGGCATTAGCTGGGGAATGGTTATCTATTATGTGTTGGGTATGTGTGAAGGGAGCTTATCAGTGTAAATGTTTATAATGGTATTATAAAGGGGACATCATTACCTCTACACATGCAGGCTCTGCTTGTTCCTTGACTATCCCATTATCTGATCTCCAGTCTATCGCACAATGAATGTTGAATAGAAATAGACTGCACACTCTTCATTTACAAGAAGCGGCCTCCATGCTATTGGTAACCAGACACAGATCATGTGATCTGGGCTGCCTAGGCCTTTGGGTAGCTCCTAACTTTGGATGATGCCTGAAGAAGGATGGCTCCTTCCTTCTGGATAGAAAATCAGATGAAGGCATTGTCGGGGAATACTGTGATTTCTGTCAGAGGTAATGAATACCTTCAAGTGTTCCATTAGCATGCATGGAACATGCTAATGGAACACTAGCATGTGTTAGGAGACTATTAGATCTCCTTTAATGGAGTCATTAAATACATGTATCCCTTGAGAATGCCAAGATGGTTTTCCAATTTGTCAGTGTGTAGGAAGTGACTCTATTTGCCTTTTCTGTGACGTCTGTATTGACTTTTTTTATTTTTGTAAGACCTCCTAACTGACATGGATTGTCTTCTTGTAACCCAACAGCACATTTACACCCCCAGACCCTCGGACAGACTCAGCATCCCGCCCTTCCTCCAGCGAGATCGCTTCAGCCGTTTCCAGCCCACCTACCCGTACATCCAGCACGAGATTGACCTCCCGCCTACCATCTCCCTATCGGATGGCGAGGAGCCACCGCCTTACCAGGGGCCCTGCACGTTACAGCTCCGCGACCCCGAGCAGCAGATGGAACTAAACCGAGAATCCGTGCGGGCGCCTCCCAACCGAACAATCTTCGACAGTGACTTAATCGACAGCTCCGTCTACGGGGGCCCCTGTCCGCCCAGCAGCAACTCTGGAGTGAGCGCCACTTCCTACGGCAGCAACGGCAGGATGGAAGGCCCTCCCCCTACATACAACGAGGTCATAGGTCATTACCCAGGATCCTCTTTCTACCAGCACCAGCAGCAAAACATGGGCACGCCCTCCATATTGGAACACAACAGACTACATTTGCAAAGCAATGGTCACGACAGCACAGCAACAAGGAGCAAAGATAAGGACAAACAGAAAGGACAGCCGTTTTAGAAAAAAATTAAAGACCGAACGTAGAAAAGGAAAAAAAAAAATTCAATAAACACTGCACTTCTAGCTGGTCCGTTTCGTTGTCAGTTCGGTCCTCAATACCACTTCGTTGTGCGTATGTCTGGCAACTTTTTGGGCACCAGAAAAAAAAAAAAAACTTTGAAGGGGAAGTTGGGGTGAAAGGGGAAAGGCCTTTTTTTCCCCCTTTTTGTTCTCCTTCTTGCTGTATAAATATTTACTTGTTATGTCTGGTTTGAATGCACAAGCGAAAGAAGCTTGAAAATGTTTATATGTTTAGCTAATGTCTTGAAATTCTTCAACTCCGTTGCTCCTTTTTGTTTTTTTGTTCTTTCAAGCAGAGCAGCGTATGCTTATTCCTATATACCCCACCCGACTTATATATATTTTATTTTTATTTTTTTTAATTATTTCCTGATAGCTCACTTAACAATTAAGGAAAACAAATCCTGAAATATTTGCAAAAAAA